TGGACTTGGCTGGATGCTTTTGCGGAGCTTCTGGAGCGAAGTCAAGAAGAAATGGCCAAAAGAGAGACTTAGCAAATGTAAAGTTCCCTAAATATCTAGGAACCAAATGAATATAGTGTGAGCGCTTCCTTGAAGAAGCGTGAGCTATCCTGCGTCCTAGCTAGGATCGAACTTCTCCCTTACGTAAAAATAATTGTAAGTAGGCGCCTGCTTAGTTAAGTATGGAGGCAGGGGGCCCCTACGGGCTCTAAAAGAAAGAGATACGACTTAGCACAGCTTAGCGGAGCAACAGCTTGGACGACGACACGCTTGTTCCCAAGGTATTGGGATGACTTCCTCCGCCGCACAGATATTCGCTCCTTGGATTATTTTTGCCCGCCCAGTGACCTTAAACTTGCTATCTGCCTGTAGAATCAACATTGACCGTGAAGTGCTTTTGCCGTTGTTGAAGAGCTGGCGGCTTCCTACACAGGTCACTCACAGGTCCTGGTCATTTTCCAAACAACATCATTCCAGCACTACTCCAATAATGTGACCTGGCTTCCAGTTGTGAGTGCTACCATAGTCGCCTGTTTTTGCCAAATATCCGTTTTGGCTTCTGATTCCCATGCTCAATCCAACTGACATGATGTTCTATTGAAACTTGGAATCTTCACCTAGAATCTACGCCAGGTGGGTTCATCTAGTCGCCATGGCTTTGCCGCAGCCACCTCTTTGAGGCCTTGAACGGCAGTGCTTGAGGCCTGAGGTGAGCCGCACGTGACCTGACCGCAGATGCGCGTACTTGTATCACGGAGGCTCAGAAGGCATTGACGTCACCAAAATGTATCAACACCTGGTGGCTATTTTTTGTGCTGGGCCATGCCCTTGAAGTATCAGAGCTTTGAGTGCTCCAAGCTGGGTTGACGTGAGCATCCAAAAGCCAACTGCATGCCAAGCGCAAAGAATGTGCCGCAAGACGCTATTTGATGCAAGTTGTTTGAAACCTAATAGCGATGACGTCCAACCTAGAAGCAATGTGATTCCTTCAAAAGATTTTTTTATCAAAATAAATAAATATATATATATATACTGTGTATATATATATATATGTGTGTGTGATTTCTATGTTGAGCTTCTTAGGCAGCGCACCACAAGCTGCAAGCTTGCCAGCTTTTTTGGTGCAGCGAGCTGAGGCATACCTTCGGAGAGAAGGGAGTCTCACGCGGGCAATACTACAAGGCGTAGCTTGCCCAGTTACATAGCTTCCGGAAGCAATGATAGAACTGATAGAACTTCAATTATTGAAATGATAATGAGGCCAACAACCACTGGAATGCCTGGAATGCTAAGGCATTTGGTCTCCAATCACTTGAATGAGAAGCCCGTGGACTGGACATCAATGAATCTCAGTCATGTTGCGACACCTGCCGCATTCGATGCTTTCCTCACACAACAGGCACAGCGCTGTGAAGAACATGCCGTGGGTGTTTGAACCAGACTGATCCCTTCAAAACGACTGTCCATCTCCCGCCCGCAAACCATACACTTGCTTCGTGCTCATATGCGTAATTAATTACTCAGCTGAATCGACTAATAACATATATCAAAATGAATGTTTTGCTCGACCCCCCACCCGGACCCCATGGATCAATTAATTCCGTGCTAGAGGGTTTCAGTGCAGCTGGTCGAAATGGCATGTATGTATGTTTTGAAGTTGGACCATGTTCAAGTTTGAATACATTAAATGGCTTTTGACAAAGTCAAGGTGTATATATATATATATACTGTTGTGTACATCTCAATGTTTTGCGCCGCCGAAGAACGATTCCCGAATCCACAGCATCAACAACTGCAGTTTCCGCACTCAATGCACTTGAATATAAAATATTGTGGCGTTGTTTGATATTCCTTGCTGTTGCTACATGAACCTTGAGCACCACGTCTTGTTTGCATGGAAGATCATGGAAGCGTGTGAGACACATCATATCATGATACAGTGAGGAACGTCGGGAAATGATGGGAGATTTCATTCCTCGAATGGTCCACGGATCTCACGGGAAACGCTGCGAACAGGTGAATGCTGCAAAGAAATTCCGGTTCGACGAGCTGGAGAAGGTTGCTCAATTCGACCAACCAGTCGCTATTCGATATGATGACAAGCAGTGGAAGACACTTAGCAGGCAATTCAATGGCTTGCCCTCAGGAGTCTAACCGTGCTTTGTGCCGAACAGTTCGCGTTGGGAGCACGCCTTTGCTGCCAGTCTCTTCCACACGAGGGTAATGGGGGGGATGCTGCTGACAGGATGCTCGCTTGCCATTTCGGTGGCCAACAACAACCACCGTATGCACTTGTTCTGCCTGCATGTTCTTAAGGAGGGTGGCGCATCACTTTGGCTTGATGGAGGACGACAAGGCTTGGATGGACCTCAGATGGCGGGATCCGTGTCGTCAACATACCAAAAGTGTAGTCAACATGCCAAAACGATTTTCGGCGTCTCAAAGCAGAGTTGCCACGCGCGGAAGAAGACGTCGGGCAGCCAATGCAGAGCCAGAATATCATTTGAGAACAATAATAGAAAACATATGAAAACACAAACCAGTTGGACAAAGACCACAGCAGTAGCACAATTGTCGGTTGCACACCCTCGTCAACGTACACAGATATTTACAGCCTTCGGCATGCCGCCGGCCACCAGCTCGAGCCCGCATTGGCAGGCAGCTTAATGATACAATACCCTGCTCAATCATACTTGTTGGTGGGGAGGGGGGGAGGGGGGCGTCAGGCTGTCGAAAAATCCGCGCGGAGAGACAAACCGTAGATTGAAACCAACACAATCAATACTAACCAAAACAATCCACAAAACACGCCGGCAGGCCGGCGGATTTCAACGTAGCAGACGCCAACAGTCGCAGCACCAGAGCAATATCAGAATTGCCGTTGCCAGCACCTTTGCAACGTACAGGCAAACATTGTAGGGTAGCGCCAGCACAGGGCAACAGAAGGACAGCAATGTCGCAATCCCCGCTGCCACAACTTCAGCGACGTAGACACCGACAGAGCACCAGCAACAAACTCGCAGAACCTGCAGGACCACCGTGTTTGCAAGAGCCTCGTCCACATGCACCCAGATATTTGCCGGTAGCACCAACAAAGACTTGCCGAATCCACGGAAGCACAGAAGTATCACCATTGTCGCGGCCACAACCTGCTCAACGTACACGCACGGCTTTCACCGTAGCAAAAGCACACAGTGGCAGACTCTGCAGGATGAGAGCAAAATGACAGTTGTATACAATTGTGGTTGTAGACGCCGTCGAGGTACACCCAGATATTTCACAGTATCACCAGCAAATAGAATCCACAACAGCACTGAAATATCAAATATCGCAATTAGCAAGAGTATATAACAAGTGGCAGGGCACTGGCAGACTCTGCAGGATGGTGCAGGATCAGAGGAAAATCACAATTATGGTTGTAAGAGCCTCGTCGTACACACAGATATTTCACGGTAGCACCATCACCCCAACCCCCAACCCCACCCCCTAACCCCCCCAAACCCCTAAACCGTAAAACCCGAAAGCCTGAGGGTCAAATGTCGCGAATTTGACCTCGATGCTTTCTCTGTATAAACTCTGACTGAGCTCGGTGGCGTTAGGGTTGGGGCGATGATGAACACTGGTGGTGATGAACACTGATGAACACTACGTGTTCATCACCACCCCAACCCCAACCCCCCCCCCCACCCCCCTCACCCCCTTCCCTAAACGCTAAACCGTAAAACCCGAAAGCCTCAGGGTCAAATGTCGCAAATTTGACGCGTCCTCAGTCGGCAATCAGGCGCCTTGTCCGCTCAGATGGCCTCAGCCAACCAGAGCCATCACAAACACATGCAGAGACCCGCTTCGGCCTGGGCATTTGATGTTATGGATGGACCGATGGCAAGTGACGAAACATTCATATTATAGTGGAGCTGAGCTGTGCGTAAGTCATGAGCCATGTCCGTTTAGACCAGCTGCCTGTCCATGTTGTCCCTCAGGGTTTCTTTCCGCAGCATTAGTCGGGATTAAGACAACATTTCAGGCGTGGAGCCTAACAAATCTTCACATCTCTAATTGAGCCATTATGAAATAATGTTCTAAAAGGGTGCCCAGTTGCCAGCAGCCCTGTCACTCGAGGCTGGCATCCGTCGGGGCAGCTACAAAGGCGTGCTCCCCTTCACTTGGCATCAGCAACCCGCATATTTGGTGCGGGATTGGCCGATGGTCTAGTGCAGCACAAAGGAAAGAAAGTAGCCACGGGCCGGGGGGACGCCAAGGCGGCTTGCAAAGAAGTTGTCCATTGCTCCAAACAATTGAGGAGAACCATCAGCAACTAGCAACCAATGGGGGGCTGACTATGCTGATAGCATGAAGTGTAGTGTGAACAGGCTCATTGAAGGAATATACTGATATATTGTATAATTACAGACCCCAGCCATGAGAGGATAGGTGGTGTCCGACAAGTCCGTACCTAACATGCCTCATCGGCCTGGACACTTGGCCCTCACTTCAACGCGAATATGGCATGTCACAGGCAGAGCCTTGCTCTTTGCTTCAGCTGGCTGTATTCCAAACTTTCTTTGGCGTTCTTTCATGTTCTTTCCTAAACTTTGCCAAAGAAAGAGATGTGGCTGGGCATGAAGTCTGTGGCAAAGCTTATTGAAATGCTGCGCAGGCTGACCTTTTCGCCGACTTAAGTCTTGTTCAACCAGCCTGCGCGCGCTTTGGGTTCACAGAATGTAACCGGCTTCGAAATCAGAAAGAAAATATTCAAAACAAAATATGCGTATCATTGTAATTGCCACTTTGACGTTCTTTTTAGGGCACCTTTTTGGACTGGTTTCATGGAAGATTGCGGCCTTCCAGGCCAGATATATCATTTTAGCAGACATTTACCAGAACTATATAATACTGTAGGCTTTTCCCGTCGCCCAAATGTGTAATGAATGATCATGTTGGCTAACACGAGCTTTCCCCGCAGCCATTTGGCCCAGAAGCGACGTGTGATGCCCGTATAGTTATTGTGTGCCCGTCAAGACGCAGTGAAAGAGGTGGGTGCCTGAAGTCTTGGAAATGGTTGTGGGGTTGTGGCTGGGCGTGTCAATGGGGCCGCAATCAGCCAGTTTTGCCGGTCAAGACTTGACCGTTTGGGTCTTGTGATGTATTGTGATATGAAGGGCATCAGTCCATATACCCCGGTGAAACTCAATATAATCCAAATCCAAATCCAGGTGCTGTTTAACACGGGCCGCTCGAAAAAGTGACATTTCGGAGGAAACGGGAGAAACAAGTCATATCCGGCCTCGGGCTAACATTAACATTAACATAGACCGTCCCCTCTCTCAGGCCATGGTCCGATTTGGTACTAACATAGGCTATATACTATAGACAAATCGCAAGCTGGCATATCATATACAGCACGAAACCGGTGAAGTCTGACATAGGCCATGCCACATCATATGGCCATTTTGTGTCGGTGTGGAATGTTAGCTTTCATGAGTGCCATTATGTAGATGTTTTGCATAATGATGGTGAATAGTGCAGCGATTGCAGACTGGAGTACGAAACGGGTTAATTCCTGCTATTCTCCACCCACTGGACTTTGCAGTTGCTACTAGGAACAAGTGCATCGCTAGTAGTAACAAGTGCCTTACTAGTAGTAACAAGAAGCTATTAGAAACAATAAGTTCAGACCCGCCAGTCCCAATTATGGGCACAGGCTACCACTGGCTAGAATGGTGAGTGGCCCAGACCAGAACCCCTTGAAGAGCCCAAAGGAACAGATATGACTCGGGCAGCCGAGAATAAAGCAGCAGAGTAAAGTCATTTGCCACCCAGACAGAAAACCTCCGTCAAGGCCCTCAGTAGCCCAGATCAGCCCGCTGCAAGGCTGGTGCCACTAAGATAGCCAAGAGTAGCAAAGATCTACTGTACTTTGACAAACGTTTCAGAGGAGCGTGGGGAGTAGCTTTGACATGCTCCGACATGCTCCGACTAATGATTCGCAAGGTTTGCACCTCGGAATGGCCCCGAGCAGCTCAGAGTACAATCTCTTGAGTGGCTCGAAGCGAAACAATGTGAAACAGCCCCGAGCGGCCTTCTAGATAGCCTGAACCGAGAAAGTAAACCCTGATTCTCCATTGGTACGATTCGGGGGTTGCTAGGTTTGAAGATTGCCACTCTTCCATTTGGGCCCCGCCTTTTCCATCCGTGGGCGTTTTTGCTCCAAACTCGCACCAGATTCTTGCTAGTGTGATGGCAGGTTCAACTTTCCTTTTGGGTGGGAGTTGGGGAGCTATTTGACCGTCTAAAGTGCAGTTTTTACTCCAGCAACTTCGTCATGCTAGCACTCCTGGGGGCCAAACACATGTACCGTGCAAGGGTTTCTAATCTTATGACAGTACGTGAGTCCCGAGGCATCCCGAGGCCATCGCTATTGGGGTCGAGGCCATCGCTATATAGTAGGTTGATATTGGGTGAGTCCCAAGGCATCACGAGGCACTAAAGATTCATGTCAACAAGCTTTGGGTCATTGAGTGCCAGGCGCGCGCTTGAACCTGCGCCTTCACACAATTGACCTCATGGCGCCCGTACAGGACTGGTAGAAACATATCGCGATCCTCGTATTGAAAACCACATGTGCAGTATGGAAATGCTTCTATGTCGGTAGGAGGTACTTTGGCTTGTGCTAGGATGTGCTAGGTATATAACACTATATATATAGTATTATATACAATGTCGTGCAGATGTACCATTCCAATCCCCTTCCGGCCGGGGAATTGAATTGCTTCGCGAGGAGCGCTCTCGTTGCTTCAATTTCAGCGCTGGCCCCGCAATGCTTCCGGACCTGGTGCCATGAGGGTTGGGGTGAGGCGTCGAGGGAGAATGAGGGAGATACCAGGCCCACCAAGCGGCGCTTCTTGTTCCTAGTAGTAAGGCCAGGAGCCCCTAGTAGCCTCCTTGCTCCTAGTAGCGATGCGAGGAGCCCCTAGAAGCTTCTCGTTCCTAGTTTCCCAGGCTGTCAGGCCGATTTTATGAATGTGCAACTCAACAACCACACCACTCAGGACGGAAGGTGAGAAGGCCGCCCAGCACGCCCAGCACAGCCCCAGCCATCAGTGCCGGAGTCTCCCCCCAGGACCCCTCCAGGTCCGAAACCCGGGACACGCAAGAAGTGCCTTCAAGGGCCAGTGACCCCCACGGATCACAATCGACCGCATGGAGACCAAACGGCCTCGGCGACCTCTCAGACATCCTCATGATGGCAGGTTTGGGCAAGCCTGCAAAGCTGAGAGATGTGGCCTTTGTATGCCTTTGTCGCTCGCCCCACGCGACACCGCATGGTGTCCTCACTGCGCATTTTTGAGAGAACAGGATCGCGGGATCAAACACCCGTTGACTGTCAAGGATCAAGGTCTTTAGAGTCGTTCAGACCCACGAAGACGTACACGTGCGGCTCTCTTGAGTTTGGGACTAACAGGTGCGCTTAGGCGCCGATGGGTGCCACCGGCGCATCCAGGGGAGGGCTGGGCTACCAAAGCTGTCAGCACTCGCATTTACTCCCGATCTCGTCGACACTGTTACATAATCATGCGTCGGTTGGACAAAGCTGGCTGTGGCTCAGCCGAGCTGTACTGGATGCAGCCAAACACTGTAATACCAGTGCCAGGCGTTTGTGGACGGATCATGACGGACCAGCTACTGTACCCCTGGCGCAGCGAAGGTCCAAGCAGGCCTGACAGCAGAGACGCAGCCCGGCAAAATAAGCGCAGCAAACAGGTGGCAATGGAAGGGCCACTGCATCCCCGAGCAGTACTTGCATTTTGGTGGCTCCTGCGCGACATTAAAGCCAGCACCATACACAGCGTGCATGAGGGAGAGAACTCATGGATCCGCTCTGACTCCACTCTTGAGATTCTATGAGAGTTCCCATTTCTTCAAAGTCATTGTTTTCACATCCGTAATGCAATTTGCAATCATTCACGGGAGTAGCCAACTCTTTGGGCGCTAGGCAAGGCTCAGTGTTTTAAAGTGCCTGGCCCAAGGAACATTTTGGAACCCGCTGCCCGTGCTGAGTTGGCACAAATTCTGAAAGCCTGCTCCGAGTTGAAGCCAGCTGCCTTTGCAATCAGCGCACAGTCCATTGAATGTTTCTTGGGCTGTGCCACTACCTTTACCGCCCTCAACAAGGTACTCGTACGTGGTCAACCAGCATCCTCGGGCTGGGGAACAATATTTTATCATTGTAGCACGTGTGCCGCACAAAGTGTCATTGGCCTTTGCGCAGCGCCAGGCCGACTATGACAGAGGGGACGCTCTCCCGGATCAGCCACAATGTGCCAAATGTGTCCAAATGTTTCAAATCGCCCGCAGAACAGACTAAGTCGGGAGAGCCCTGTTCTTCAACTTCATCCGGCAGTTCGGAACACGTGAGGTGGGGTCAAAATAAGTGTAGACTACTTTAGTCAGGAGAGGTCGATGTGAATGGCTTAGGGTGAGGATGTATTGGAAACCGATAAGGTCCCCCCCAAAACCGATAACCTATGATAACCTATGTATGATGGTATTTATTATCATTTTTGACAGATCCTTGCGGTACCTGTTGCATGTCAAATGAAAGCCCCACTGACAGTACCCTAGTGGGTGGCTTCAGCCATATGATATGGAATCAATATTTTTGTTGCTGTGTTGTTCTTTTTCTAATCTGCAGCCTTTCATTGAAAAATCCGGATTCTATGTGGCCACTACGCCGATAACGAAACCGATAACTCGCCGATAACCGTTTGGATATGTTTTCAGCTTTCATAGCCCTTTGCCCAGAGCCTGCTGACGAGACAGCTAAATTCCCTATCGAAGACATTGCTCTAGCCTTTCTTCTTGAGAACTTACGTGTTAGTATTTTACATCCCAGCAAACAGAAGGCCGATAAAGATTAAGATAGAGATAGGTACGCCAAATTTCGCAAACCCACTCGAAATTGCAATGCTTGTGTCCGCCGCTGACAAGCGAGCTGTGAACAAGCTCATCCATTGCTTCTGATTTCAGCGAGTAGGTAGCTCCGCTTCATGCATCCACAATGTAAATGCGAATGCCAAAAGCATCTGATTGAACAAAAAGCTGAAAACCGATAAGGTCTCCCCCAAAAACGATAACGATAAAAAACATAATTGATTTTGACCGTGGCTCACGTGAGAAATCGCAAGATGGATCAGGTTGGCACAAGGCTCAAGTGGCAGGGATCCTGTCTTTCTGAGTTTGGTGGCCAAAGGTCTCTTAGCACGAAGATCTGTCAATGTGCGCCAACCGTTTGCAAAAGGTCCTCTCCAGGAACTTGTTTGTTTGGCTTGGAGCATGTTGAGAGACTGTTTGAACCTTCATGTGTGTGTGTACACGGCCTAGTGCTTTGCAGCAGAGTCTGTGCTATTGCTTTACTACGCATGGAAAGTCAAAGAGATTCAAAGAGCAGCTGGGCCAAACAGCCAAACAACCAAGTTTTCTTTGCATTCATGCTGCAAGCTGATACGCACATTCCTGAAAATTGAATCCACATGTGAGATATGCCAATCCGGCAATCATGTTGAGTCCCTTTCCATGTCGTTGCGCAAGTAGGTTCTGGATAAGATTGTTGGGGAGCTGGGCGACTACGATGGCATCTTGGCACGCAACTAATGCTGCGAGAAACAGGAAGAGGCCTAACTCAAACATATGACCAGGACCAGGTTTGCGGCAGCGTAGCCTCTCCACGAAGCAAGACACAAGTGACCTTCATTACCCCGTGTTACCCTCATTCCTGGCTTTGTGTTCAAATTGGTTGCCACCTCTATCTTGAAACCGTTGCTGGTTTGTTGGTGGGTCACATTGGTTGTTGGCTAATAGTTGCGGATAGCTAGTTGCCGAGGCTTGGGGATGAGCATCTTGGAAATGGGGCACCGAGACGCCGGTGGGCCAGTTCAAGAAGTCTTGCAGGAGGCGCTGCTGATGAGTCGGCTTGGTGGCGCCTACCACATTAGCAGTGAAAAGTCTAAGTGGAGCTGAAACTTCGAGACCAGGAAGATAAAGTTCGGACCCACGAACCTGGAAGGGATTGCTGGGACCACTGCCTGCAGTTGGCTAGCAACTAACTACAGTGAGCGGCTTTAACATGCTTTAACTATTTTCTTTGTACATGTAAATTTATATGTGTGTTTCTTTTGTTCGTGTTGTTTTGCGGCTGATCCTTTCCATTCTCAACCCATACTTTGAAGGTTATGATGCCTCAACCAAGAATGAAAGTCGTTGGGTCAGGCTCTTGCTTCTTGACGGGGAGCACTCATTGTCTACGATGAAATGTTAGAACTCAATTTGCATATCGAAGAAATACTTGCCAATGCTTCCCGGCCGTATCGTTGATGCTCCAATCCTGGTGGTCAGCTGAAACATGGCAAAGAATTCTAGACAAGCAAAAAAAACTACAAGAAGGGCATGTTGATTACGCCAAGCGACTTACAGGTAATATCCGACCCCTTGCCCGTTAGGATAAAGCACGTACTACTCTGCAAGAGTTGGAGGCCATGGATAAGGATGGTTATCAATGGGAAAGACTCACAAGGGCGAGAAAACCTTTCCAACCCAACCGCTTTAAATGCAAACACAAAAACGGTTATTATTAAACTATAGTGATACAGATATTCCGGAAACAGCAGCAGACTACTTTACTTTGCGGACGTCCAGTGCGCCAAACCTGCTGACGGTGCACTTGACTCAAACAAAGAAAACACACCGACACCGCTTATCGCTGGTGATTCTGACATGGATGACTCCCCCTTCTCACTGTAAGAACAACACAGCTCCAGCTGCAGTTCAGAACTTATCAAATGGCTCTCCCCAAAAAACGGGTTTACCTCTTGGACCTCTTTAATGACATTTTGCTCTCAGGCTGCTACACTGAATCTTTTGAATGTTAAACTCGCTAACATTGCTGCATGTTACAAAAGGGTGATGCGTCGCAGATGAAGGTTTGAGTGAATGACATTGTTGTGGAGCAAACATGTAGGGTTTATTAAGTAGGATTACTTCAGATTAATATGGATTACATAATCCTGGACGACAAAAGCAAGAAACCAAAAACACAAAAACACACAGATTTCAGAACTATGTTGAAGATTGGACTAGTTTGGAAATGTTTTTTGTTCTATTGTTTTTTGGGGGTTCTGATGATGGCAATGAGCATTGCAGACAAAAAGGAGCATTGGATTATAAAAAACTTTCATTGGAAAGAACCTGTTTTCAAAATTTAAAAAAGTCAAAAAAAAAGTCAAACTCAAAAAAAAATCAAATTGAAAAGTTAAAAAAAAAGTCAAAAACAAGTCAAAAAAAGTCAAAAAATCAACAGTCAGCAAAAAGTCAAAAAACAAGTCAAACAAAAACTTTGCATAGGTAAACAAGTCAAGGAAAAGCTTGTAACAAGGCAAATTGCAGCCTTTTTGCTTATGGCTTATGGCTTTCAGTCTATTAAAAATTCTAGAACCTTTTTGGTTGTTCAACTTTCACCTTTTCCAGCCCCAAGCCAGCCC